AAAAGAAAAAAAAAGAAAGGAAGAAAAAAAAAGACTGTTGAAAATGAATTTCCAAAATGGACAAACAAGAGCAAAGGCTGTTTTCCAGCAACAGCACCACGGGGTGACTTGGGGACAGCAGCCTACCTGGAGTGAATGAGCGTGAGTGCTTTCAGGGCCAGTGTCAACCAGGAGTCCGTCAGGGCTTCAATCTCAGCCCTCAGCTGCAGCCAGGCTTCCCTCTTGGTGGGACCAAGCAGACCTGTGGATTTAAAAGCACACGAATTCCCTCCTTACCAAAGTTCCTATTCAGCGTTATAAATAATCAACATTTAATACAACTCCTAATATCTTCTTGAGGCTTTGTGGTATGTGAAGTAATTTTTCACACATGAGCCTCCACTGGACACCTACTTGTTTAGCACTGTAGGGAACACCTACTGATTTTGCATTTCTAGCTTGCATTGCCCTGGTTATAGAAGTCATCTCTTTTTGAGGAGTCTGCTCACACCATTCCTCTAACCGTGGAGTTTGGGCAGAGCCAACCCCCCTCTGGCTCCCAGGGTAGGTGTATGACCATGGCTTGGCCAGTGCAAGTGAGTCTGGGAACCTTTGCCGAATCTATTGGGAAAGATCTATTTCCACCCAACAGAGGTGCTAAGCTCATAGAATAGAAACGTGGATCTATCAGTGGTCACCTATGCCACCTTTTGGGAGGGACTGACCTAGAATAACTCCTAAGGAAAGAACAGGCAAGAGATTCCGGATGTCGTCTTTAGAGCATGTAGATTTAGCCATGCTGCAAAACGCCACCACCCCTAAACTTTTCATTAAGTCAACATATTCCCTTGTATGTATAACGTCATTCTGAAGCACAATCAAAAGATGAGAACTAACACAAACATCTACCCCACTGAAGGAGAATATTCCTGTCACTAAATCACAGCACGATAATCACCGGGTTAGATGAAACTGCTCCAAAAAAGCTATTACATCCCAAAAAGTGTGATGTGAAAGTGAGTCGTACTTTGAGAATTTTAGCCAGACTAGCGTAATAATCCAGTAAGATATTGGTGGTAGCTACTTGCCTCCAACATTATTTTTGTAGGTATTGTAGATCTCTTTTACTCGTCTGTAGCGGAAAGCCAACTTTCTCATCCAGTCTACACCACCCCGCACACCAGTTGCCAAGCACAAGTTTGCACTGGTTGCTGCAGCAGGAAAGCCATCTGTTCCAAAGTTATATGTGCTATTTAGATGCAAGAAAAGCCCAAAGTTAACCAGACAGAAAGTTCATCTTAATTAGCCTAGCAATTGAACTGTAAAATGAAGAAAATCACTTCACATTTCAACATGCTCACCTCAGGTCTTGCCCATTATCATCTGAAGACACATCATCTATATGAACTTGGTCACATTCCTAAAATGCAATTAAAAATGATACGTGTTCATTTTCGAGAAGCACCTTTTTTTTTTCTTTTGCAAAACCACACACAGCTGTTTAAAAAGACCCCACAACTTTAATTGGTCCGTCTCTCAACAATGTCAATCAGTAGGTGTCAGTCTTGTGAAAAGCTGATATTTTTACCTACTCCAGGCCCTCTCTTGACATAAAAAAATGAGCAATGCCATTAAGGACTACTGTTACTCAGCTTCAGAAAATATATTCTTGTGTTTAGAAAGGAAAGGGATTGAAAACAATTAGCATGTGTGTTCCATAAACCTCCGGTACCTGAAGACATCATGCTGCTCAAAGCTGATTCAGTCAGTGCCTGAGCATAACTGAAACCAGACACGTCGGTAAATGTAACATGCTAGAAAAATTAAACCTGATGCTAACTGCCAATGAAATTATGACCTCTGATTGCTGTTGAGCCACACACCAACAGAGCCTGAGGCCAGTGCACTGAGGAGCCCAGACGAAAAAATCTGGTACTGGTTTACCATTGATTTGAGAGATGTGAGTTTTATTCTGTGTGTGTGTGTGTGTGTGTGTGTGTGTGTGTGCATGCGTGTGTGCGTAGGAGGAAGAAAGCATGGGAGACTTAAAAACCCAAATAAAAACAATCAAACCATGTGGTAGTTTGCATGGTTTTTTTTACTGTTTTATTATTATATAAGTGTTGGATTTATTAATTTATTATAGAATAATGTTATTTGAACAGACCTGATGCTTAAAGCCCAAACCGCGTGTAAACTGTTTAGAATAGGAGGCTGTGATTTTGAGCTAAAGCTCCACTAGACTGAGTTGATGTTCATGCACCTGTCTGCATCCACGAACCCCTACATCTTATGGCTACATCCCCAGTCCCTAGCACAGTCCAGTGAAAAGCAGACACTCAATAATTAACATTTGTTGCCAAAGGAAGGCGTACGAATTTGGAGGCCGACAACAAGGTCTCCCCTCCAGAAACAAGTCACCCACAGCGGGCAATGCTTTACTATTTCAGTTACGATTCTTTGCAGTCAGGCTCCAAATACCCCAGAGGCCTTTATTATACTTCTTGTCATTAAAAGTGTGAGTTTAAAAATATTATTAAAAGATCTCCAGGCATGTATCCTGTATTTTAAAAGGTTCTTCTGATTAAAGCTCTGGTTGTATTTCCTATTTAACTTGATAAAATCTAGCCTGTCCCTATAGTGCTTGACGTTCAGTTTGGAACAATGATGACATACATCAAGTGCCACAGTAAGACAAGGTGTATTTTTATGTTGCGGGTCCCTTCTGAACAAATTCTTTTCTCTCCACGGATTTGTGAGGAAGGGGGCAGGAGATAGAAGTGGAAAGAAACTCAAACCAGCTGTTGCTTAACAGAATTAAAATCCTGACCCCCCAACCCCTTCTCCAAAGCATCTATTTTCCAGGCAACCCTCTCCCAGCAAGCAGCAAGTTTCAAGGAGGAAAAGACTTTGACCTTGTAACCCCCCTCTGCTCTCCCGAGGTCCATAACCTCAGATAAGAAAGAGGAAAAGCAAGTCCAGGAGGCCTCACATGTGGACTGTGAATTTAACATTTAAAAAACAGGTCATTCCTGGAATACATGTTTGGGGACTCCTCAGAGTTATTAATTCAATCATATTTCAGAAGATAAATGATAGTAGTGTTTTTTCAACCCTGTACTCATCCCGGGTTTAAAGAGTGACGAAATCACGGGTAGACATTTCTGCCATTTATCTAGCCAGAAATACATGTTTTCTGTGTTGTTGGTAAACAACTCTTTTAGGGTGCACGGTGAGTGTACAAAACAAACAAAAAAAGCAAAACCAAAAAGTGTAGCCCCCCCCCACCCAAAACAAAAACAAAAACAAAACAAAACCAGAAAAACCCCAAAGCCTGAATGCCACGGTGGAGGATTTTTCTCTTTGGGGAGAAGACAGGAGGTTGAAGGTGAGTGAGTACAAGGGAAAAGGCCACCTTATAAAGGATTTAATTCAAGGAATCAAAGCTGACTTAAAGTTAGTTAACTCTAGGGGCGGGAAGAATTCCTTCCAAAGGCAGGGCGTTAAGAGGCTTTTCTTAATTGCAAGCAGTTGTAAATCTCCATGACCATGGAGAAGTCAGTTATCTTCCAGTGACTGTTAATGACTCCACTGTGGCTATTGTCCCCCCACATCCTGTATTTGTTTTCTCCCGCCAGCTTTATCCAGGTCTTTTTGTTCCCGGGGCTGAGGCCCTCATCTGAACTGCTGTTCAGTATCTTGGCTAGCTCTAACTGAGTGTCAACAGCTCCAAGCTTCTACCTGCAGCCACTAAACTCGCTTCACAGAGATCTGATCAACTCCAGTGTGGTGGCAACAAGGAAATCTTCATTCTTTATCAGGAGGGTTTTTTGTAGAATGATTTTAATGGAAACAGAGGCAAACATCAGGAGCGGTTTTTTTTTAAAGGGCCTCATTAGCACCCCCAGGGAGAGAAAGAAATCATTAACATGTCCCTGTAAAATATGTTTTGCGAATTGTTCATTTCACTTAACAACAGAAAAATACCTTACTGCACGAACTTTGTATCGATAAGGTATATATAAGACGTACAGGTAAATATCTGTAAGTCTTTGTATGAGCTTCTACATAATTGTAGAAATATTTGGGGAAATATGCTCTGTATGTTTTTATTTTGATGAAAAATTGTGCTATTGCTATTACTATCTTGATGCTTACCTATTACAAATTTTAATTTCTCAAAGAATGGAGAATATAAAAATACGGAAATATCTTAATATACGTGGAATGTGTGAAGCTTTCTAAGTGCACCCACTCTCAAATCAGAAACTGCAGCGCCCCCCATTCCAACGTCTGAAATTCTTCTTCCCCTCCCCCATTACGATGAGACTCCCCTCCCCCCACTTTCTGGAAGCCATCTAGCTTTTTGCTTAAGAGCCTAATTTTAGCTTTTCTTTTTTCCGTTCTGGACTTAGTTGTTTTTTAGTTTCTAAATTTGTTTGAAACTCAGAAAATTAGTTATTTGAAGGAGGGGAGCAGGGGTTCTGGACCTACCGAAACACCACCACAACATTAAAAGCCCCCTGGAAGGATCTATAGACACAGAAAACAAGAAAGGAAGCTTCCCATTATTTCCGGGTACCAAGATATATTCCTAAGAACCCTAGTTTACTGCTTAGTACACAGAGTGCTGAGCATAAAGAATTCCATGGGAAAATAAGCTTTTACCCCAAAAAGACTGGATGTGCTAAAAAAAAAAAATGTATTTTTTGAAATAAACTTCCAAAATGTATATGGTAGGGTTTTAGAGCATCGGAGTCATTACTGAATCCAAGTCTGTGGCCAGCATTCACAAGTCTAAGGGACGTTACTGCCACTTCAGCCAGCTGAGCACATACGCATTAATCTGTCCTGTTGAGGTTGCAGGTGCCCAAGGTACCCCTGTTGTGTTGGGGTATCTCGCGGGGGGCCTCATTTGGGGAGAAGGTAGCAATTCTCATGACCTCTCGTAGATTTTGCACTCAACACTCATCTGAGCCGGCTACTGGGTGCCTTAGCTTAGAAAGATCGTCATTTATTCATTCATGTGTCCTATTATTTATAAAGGGGCTACTATGTTCTAGCGCTATTCCAGATGCTAAGGGCACAACATTTAACAGACAAAAGTCCGTACCATCTTGGAACTAACATCGTAGTGGGGGAGACACCCAAACCAGTAAATATGCAAAATGTACAATGTGTCAGACGGTGATAACTGCTAAGGAGAAAAAGTAGAGCAGGCAAGGGAATGATGCAGTGCCGTGTGGGGTCTCCGGAATGGCCTTGCAGGCCAAGGAAAGAGCATGTTCAAAGGCCCCGAGGCAGCAGAACCCTGGTGTGCTGGAGGACGTGGCAGGAGGAAGGCACAAGTGATGAGGGAGCATAACGCACGCTGAGGGCAAAGTATAAGCTAGCACCGCACCCCTTCCTCCCAGGCGGGATATGTGTGATATTCCTCAGACGCTCCCGGCTGCCCAAGAACAGGGAAAAGGACAAAAGCGAATGGCTGACTGATAGAGATCACAGTCATGCAGGACAGGGGTCTCCTTCAGTTTACAGAAAACTTAGTTAACGGCAAGAAAAAGGCAACCTTACCCATAGACTAATCTCTATAGACTATAGAAACCTATAGTCTATCTCCCGGAGCCCTAACATCACCCTTATGAAGATGTAAGGGGGTTTGAGTGTAAGGGGGTAAAGCAATCAGGTTATGTGGGAAACAAAGGCAAATGAAAAATTAAGTTCCCTTACTGCCTACAGCCCCGTGACAAGTCCTTGAAACAGGCAGAGTGACCTCCCTCTAGGAGCTCAGCTGCCTCAATGAGAACACTTTGCTACGGGCAAAAGGGAATCTTGGCTTAACAGCATCCTGACCCCCCTGGATCCTGTGAGTCTCCTCAGACACAGAAAAATTCCTTTGGAGGGGTGCCTGGCTGGCTCAGTTGGTTAAGTGATGGACTTTGGCTCAGGGCATGATCTTGCAGTTTGTGAGTTCGAGCCCCGTGTCGCGCTCTGTGCCGACAGCTCAGAGTCTGGAGCCTGCTTCAGATTCTATGTCTCCCCCCTCTCTACCCCTCCCCTGCTCACATTCTGTGTCTGTCTCTCAATAATAAATAAACATTAAAACTATTTTTTAAAAAATTCCTTTGGAAATTTCCTTTATCTCTACCCACCTCCCCTAAGATATATGTCGGTAATCACACTCTAGGCTTATGGCCCCCTGATATACATCTGAAGGGTCTCATGACTGAAGTTTTACTAAACAGTAATAAATGATGTTTTCCTAACAATAGGTACCCCCTTTAAGGTCCTGAAAACCTTGCTTCCAAAATACCTTAGAGACTTACTTTATCCCTAACCCCCTCCCAACCTGAAGGTATATAATCAGTTACCCGTCACAACCCCTGTGCCGCTCTTCCTGCCCACGGGTCCTATCTCTGT